ATATATATATATATATATATATATATATATATAAGGTAAATGTAAATTAATAATTTAACTATAAATATATTATTAACTATAATAATAATTATTTTTTTATTATTTAAACAAATCTTTATTTCTGCTACTCAATACATAAAGTAATATAAGAAAAGAATATAAACAGACTCACGAGCCAGCGCGAGCAGGAAGTCTCTTGTGCTGAACGCCACGGCTGCCCTCCACAAAAGCACTGGGAGGTTTGTGGTAGACTGAGGCCAGAGTACCAATGTGGCAGATAAGCTCCTCCAGCAGGGTGGGCTCAATCAGGTCCGTCTCCTCTGATATCAGAGGCTTCTCGGCCAGCACCACCTCTTTTGCCGCCACAGGGTCTGTGGAGAGCAGACGCCAGTAGATGTAGCCACGGTCACGCAAGTCAGGATTATCAGAATCCTACAAAGTTAAAGAGAGCAAAATACAGGGAAAGTGAGAACCCAATAGAGGGATTCATACACTGTTTATGATATGAGAGTATATCATCTTGGAGGAAGAAAGAGAAAATGAGGTGACTGGTTCTTTCCACAAAACCTCATCTGAAGGACAGGGTCTTGTGTAAATAATGCAAAACTCCTTCTGAGCACCAATTCATCTGTGTGATAAGATCAAGTGGTATGCCAGCAACACCCAGAGCAAAACAGCGGTGAGAGAATTAGATCTTGAGGCCATAAAACAGCACCTGGGATAAAGGAGGACATTTGGTATTCTGACAGAACCCTGGCGGCGAGTACAGCCTGTGGCACTGAACCTCAAAGTTAATAATGACAAGATTCAATCTCCGATCCCAGTCTGACAGCACAAGCTCACGGCTTCTCTGAATATTAATGAATATTAACACAGACACATACATGCTCCCTAGCTGATACACACAAACATTAAACTAGTCTGTCATCAACATTTTCAAGTTTCCAAAGGTACATAAAAACAAAGTAAATATAAACCATATTAATTAAGTGGTTTAATCCAAATCTACTGAAGAGACATGAATGATTGCTTTACATTGAAGGGGTGGTTCATTGCGATTTCACTTTTTTAACGTTAGTTAGTGTGTAATGTTGCTGTTTGAACATAAACAATATCTGCAAAGTTACAAAGCTGAAAGTTCAATGCAAACGGAGATATCAGAGGCTTCTCGGCCAGTCTTTTAAAATTCTGGCAGTTTAATGCCTACAAAAATAGCTGCTAGGGACTACAACAAGTTACTTCCCGGGTGCGTGACATCACAAACCCAGATAAACCCTGCCCTCGGGAAAAGGCAGCAAAGGGGGCGAGGCCATGCTGCGCTGCTTTAGAGAAGAGGAAGCGAAAACTAGAGGTGCACGTAAAAATCTATTCATATATGAATCGCGATTCTGTCTTCTAAGGATTCTAATGGATTCACAAGTTTCAAAATCAATGTTCTAAAGCAGCAGTTCTTAATACTGTTCTTCACGTCCCACTAAAGCCGTGCTTGCACAGGTTCTGCACGATCCTCTTCAATAATATCCTCTGCTTCTCAATCGGGCTCAAACTGATAAGCTATATTAACGATGCAGTTGTTTACAATACAACCGAGGTGAGGGGCGGGACGTTTAGAAGCGCGCTAGAGGCGGTTTAGCCAATCACAACACACTGGGCTAGCTAACCAATCAGAGCCCATTGCCTATTTCTGAGGGAGGGGCTTCATAAAAGAAGGACATGATCAGCCCGTTTCTCAGAGAAGGGATAGAGAGGTGTGGAATAATGGTAAATTATGTGAAAAATAATGCGTTTTTTTAAAAACGAAGCATAAACACATGTTAGACTGCACCCCATAAACACAATCAAGCCTAGAAAAAACCCAGTGAACCACCCCTTTAAGACTGGGTATTGACACAGATTTCACAAATCAATTCAAATCTGATTCACAAGCTCTTGATTTGTTAAGTTTAGACTGGGATATATATATGAGGTACAATGCATGTCAGTTTTTATAAAGGAAAATCTCTAATGCTGTAAACTATACAGGGAATCCTGTCAGTTGGTACATTACTAAAAAAATTAAGATCTAAATGAACAACAGATTCCAAATTAAATGGCTATTTATTTTTAGATATAATAATAAATACTCAAATAAAAAGTTTACACACATAAGGCAGTTTTAATATCAACTTTTTAATGAAAGGGCCTATAATTATGTTTCTACTCCAATTCGTTGTTGAAATATAATCATTGTAACTGTGGCTTTAGATTAGCAGTCGACCGATATTTGTTTTTTTGACAGCCGATGCCGATGCCGATATCTTGGAAAGCAGGGTGGCCGATGGCCGATATAATTTTATTTATAAAGTTTGTCGATCGCACGTCTCCAGTGAAGCTGAACTCTCCTCCTGTCCGCATTCAATTCACACGGACCGACCGTCACGCAGAGAACACGCGATCATGCATGATGCACACACACACTTCACAAGATCTCACAACTGGATCCGACTAAAGGCTTGTTCACACCGGGACGAATATCGTGCGCGATTATCGCCAACGTTTAACGCCTCGTGACTAAACAAAGGGCACCAATGTGAGTGTGCACACCGACGCGCAAAACGCGAGGCGTAAAAGCGTAATTTATGCAGATTTATAAATGATTCTCATTACGAATTTGGGAACATGTTTGTCGCACGTATCACATTGTCACATGCCTTTAAAAAAAATTCACAAAAATGTTACCGAGCAACTGACGAGTAACAGTTTTAGCACAGATTTTCCTCGACCTTTGGACTTTGAACCCTGGTGCCGCGAGCTCGTGCAGCGCTGTCATAATACATGCAATTCGAAAATATAACAGAAAATATAACATTCTGCAGTTTACTTACTATTCGTTTGAGGCTATTTCGCGATTTCAATCATCATACAGTAGCCTAACCACCAGCATCAGCCACCTCTTTTTCTCATCGGAGACATGTGATGCAGCACTAAACAGTCTCTCGCGGTCGGTGCTTCATGCTTGTAATGATTTCTGCGTCTTTCTCTGATAGTTTTAAATACTTTCACACTGCCGTCATGTTTGCTGCATTAGTGTATGCCTCTATTTGATTGCGTCACGTCATTCTTCGGTACATATTATTCGGCCTTTTCGCTTATTATTTCGGTTGCCGAACATTCGGTGCATCCCTAATTTTTACAAAGCTCATCGGTCTGAAAAGCAAGGTGTGCTCTGATTGGCCAGCTATCCAGTGTGTTGTGATTGTCCTCTTTTGGAAGGCCAAACAAAGTATTTTCGCTTTCGCCACTAAACACACAGCGTCTTCACAATATGGCGGCGGCGGTGGCAGCAACAATAGTTACGCCTTCTTTCTTTGCGTGAACATTTTGGGCGGTGTTATGCAAATCTTCCCACACAGTGATGTAGACATGTGGGGGCGTGTTTGAACGAGGCGTTTTAGGAAGGCGTGGACGAGTCTTAACTTTTATAAAGAATATCTCTTTGGGTTTGAAACTTTAGTCTTTGCAACTTTATGGATCTTATCTATTCACGAACAGCTTGTAACACTCCAAAGAGAAAGGAAAACTTGTAATCGCATCATATGACCCCTTTAAAATGGAGAGTGACTGAAATGGATTAATCATCGTCATCACCACCCTCCTTTATATGATGAATAGATTTTAATTAGGCTTTTATTTACACATAATTCACATTGAGCAACGCCCCTACATAGAACACATCAAATATGATAAACATAAGCTCAATCGTGCTTGCTTGGTGTGCCAGAACAAATTGTACTGGTTAGTGTGGACGCTCAAATGTGCTAGCTTAATGTGCTAGAACTTAATTGGTACTCATTTTTCAAGCAAGCACGTTTTGATCATTTTTGAACATCTGAAATTAACGGATATGCAGCGCTCTCTTTAACTAAAAAAAAACAAAACAAAAGGAATAAGGTGCCCTTATTTTGCAACACAGTAGCTTAACAGAAAAAACTTATTCTGATGATGTAAAAAAAAAAAACGTGTTAATAGCAATTAAATTCCTAAATGGCACAGAGGAAGGAAGCTAACATTAACAAATATATAAATGTTTAATAAATATAAACCTGTCATGAACCTGCTGTTTTGATCTGGTGCAGGGTTTCAAAACTCACAAGCCCACAAGCTCTAACCCAAATTGTTGGGGACCATCAGAATGCTTCACTATTTACATTGCATTATGACACAAATATGTACATATGCACATATATAATATAATAAAACGGAGCAGGTCATGTAGTCTAATAGGCTCACAGGAGCAGGACACTAATCCCTCTAACTCCTGATGCTTTTATAATCATCATCTTTTGCTTCCTGTTCACTTGACATTCATTTGAGACATTTTTACTAATTAGAAGTCTTCCATTTTGTGGTTTGTTTATCCTCTTATTGTCTGCCTGCAGCTACAAAAAGCAATTACAGCATTTTGCAGAAAAGAATAAGCATATCAGGGTAGAGATCTGCCATTTAAGGATGGCAACACCTCCAGAGAGTGCCCTTGAAGGTGTGAGCAAGTATAGGTGCAGTGTCATTTTCTCATTGAAACGTGTGCTTTGATACTCCCGTGTACTTGATACGTCCGTGTGGATATCTCACCTGTGTGGCGAGACTGAGCACTTGTTGCACCAGCTCCTGGGTCTCAGTGGGTTTCTTCAGGAACAACTTCACAATAGCTGTCAGCAACTGCAGTTGCACCTGAAAGAGAAGCGTGAAAAAAACATTAACACAGGGACAAATCCTGTAACATGATTTTCCAAGAGACAAGTTCATGTAAGTTTATTCCATTATTCACTAGGGTAGTATGGTATTATTGTAATGATACCAAAATTTCAGTAGTCATGACTAGAGGTCTACACGGAGGACCCGAGACCCGAGGACCCGGGACCCGACCCGGGATCCGTACGGGTTCGGGGCTATATTTTAAATGGTCAGCCAGTCCGGGTCGGGTCCCAATCTATTACTTCGGGTCCCGGTTAAACCGCATAAACACATTTCATTACACCAAATACACAAAATAATGTTCTTTTTAGCAGCATCATATGACCCCTTTAATAGCAATTTGCTGTGGAATATGTGCCAATCGGGTCCAGTATGGGTCTGTGTCTTCCCGGCCGGGTTCGGGTCCATCTTTCAAATAATTGATGGTCCGCGTCGGTTCCGGGTAGTACATTTTTGACCGTTCTCGGTTCTGCACGGGGCCGGGTCCAACTTTCAAAATAATAGACGGGTCTGGGTCGGTTTAGTGTAGCACATTTATGGGTCTCTTCGGGTTCGGGTGCGAATTTTTGGACCCGTGTAGACCTCTAGTCATGACCACTACCAGTGAAAGAGACCAATTTTGATATCACAGCAAAAAGTCATCCTATTACACAGTTATAGTTTTTCTTTATGCACATGGAAGCAACTTAATACGCTGCATGCATAACGCAAGTCTGCTTAATACAGCATTACTTATTTCACAAAGAGGGTTTTAATAAAGCAATTTGAATGGCACTTCACCTGTGTGCTCTCATCATGGAAGCCTTCCAGGAAGCTCTCCAGCAGCTCATCTGCATTGTCGATTCTCTCTGCGTACTCTCCCACAATCCAGATCATTGCTGCGCGTGCCTCGGGCTCATCAAGAGAGTCCAGGTTCTCACACAGAGTGGCAATCACGCTCTCATACCTGACAATACATTCAAGAAAAAACCAACAGTGAAGCAGCAAAATGGCATAGTGGGGGTAGGATGGGTTCAGTGAATCTTTATTGAATTCTTCTTCAACACATTTTATATGAAAGGCATGGCTGGACAGAGGCTGTGTCAGGACAATGAACCTCTAACATCTGGATAATGAACCTTAGCCAAACAGAAATAGGATGCAGTTTAGAGAGAGAAAGAGAAAAACAGCTTTAGTGACAAAGAGGTCAGAGAGAGGGGAAATTGTACAACACACACAGAGAAACCTACTTGTTGGGGTACTTGCGGAAGATGTCCTTGATGACCACAATGGCTTCCTGCACCACATAATTGACCTTGGTCTGAATGAGGTCAAGCAGTGTGCTGACACAACGCTCTGCTGATTGCTGTAACAGAGACAGGAGAGACAGAAAGAGAGATCAGCTGATCTGCTTAAGGATAAATGGCATCATCCAGAAATCAGTTAACCAAATAAGCAGTTGGCTTTTGTTTCACATCAGGTTGAACCATTTCATCAGGAGCGGTAAACTTTACAATTAAAATGAACACTCGTCAGACTGCCAGTGTTAATTAAGTTAATAATAATGTTATCCGAATCAAGGTCAGGCCAGCTCACCTCTACTTTAATAGCACAGCGGCCAATGGCTCGTACAGCTTTACGCACAAAGTCCACGTCCACTTCAGTGGCATATTCCTTCAGCTCAGCCAGCACCTACACCACCCAAACACACAGAAATTTAGCACAGACTCTCATAAGCATACATGACAAATGTTAATGTGATACACAGTGGGGTCCAAAAGTGAGTGATCAATAAATACAAACAATTAAATAACAATGAAAATGCTAAAAAAAAAAAAAAAAGAAGGAGAAAAGCTAAACAAATTTTAGGTATGAACTCTAAAAAGAATGAATTATACTTGATAGAAAGTCCCTTTAAATTGGTCATGACAAGAAACATTGTCGCATGACATTAAAAATTAGGCAGACCATAAATATATTTTGCTGCTGTCATTAATGCAAAAGAAGAACAAACCAAATACTCAGACATTCTCAAATTCATGCTGATTTGTTATTAACACTAGTATTTTCACTAGTAGTCTCAGACTTTTGGGCCCCACTGTATTCTGGGTAGTGTAACAGAAAAATGTATGAACATAAATGATCATGCAGAGATCATGTTTCACATTAGTGAAGTGTAGTTGTATATGTGGCGTTTCATTCACCTGAGCAATGTTGGCCTGAGACGCCAGGCGGATCATGATATCCAGCTTCTCCAGCTTGACATAGATTGGGTCATTATATTTCACAAAGAAAACCTTCATCTCATGCTTCAGAATTTCAGGGCTGGTAAAAACGCAGTATAAAAATGAAAAGTAAAAAATATTATAATTAAGTTTATTTACAAAAAAATATATATTTGTGCATTAATTTTTGAGAAAACCAAACCATCATCACTTAAAGCAGCACTATGTAACTTTTTCTGTGTTCAAAATTTGCTAAATGTATATAATGAGCGAGTACATTATGAATTCATCTTCCAAACCACGTTTTTGTCTGATTCCGAATCACTACGGTACACTTATAATAAGTACTTATATTTGGACTATTGTAGCCTGGTCGGGTCGTCACCGCTGCGGAGTAACACATACCTGCGTGAATCGCCATAGACATAAACTTAGAGAAGTAGCTCCAGTTGGAGTTCTGCCGCGGGATGTGTGCAGTTCTGTTTATTAACCGCTAGAGCGCCAAAAGTTACATAGTGCTGCTTTAATATAAACTAATTTATTTACCTTAGCTCTGCACCTACCGTTTCTGTACGATGAGGTTAATGTTTCTCAGGGCAACATACTGCAGTTCAGGTTCAGCTGAGAGCAGCGTGACCAACGGAGGAGCAAGTTTCTTCAGAAGAGTGCCGTAATAGTCTAGATCTTTAGGAAGCATCTCCATGAACTTCATCAGAACCTTCACGGCAGACAGAACCACGGCAGAGTTAGCGTGGGACAGCCGTGGAGTTACACGCTCACAGATACTGTGGGAGGAGAGAGAGAAACATGCTTCAACAAGGCAGAGGAAAAAAATCTTTAAGGTCAAAGACACGCTGTGTAGTGTAACATTGGCTGAATTAGGGCTGTTTAAAAATAAATAAATAAATAACACTGATGGTACAAATAACTGCAATCTACATTTGAACAATCCTATATTGTTTCTTAAAATCCCTAACTGAATCAACAGTGATTCAAAGCCAACTCTGATTTAATTAAACTCAGTTCAAGTAATCAATGTAAACAATAAGTCCAACACTAGATTAGCTTTATTAGTGAAGCTAGTGTCTATGTATTATGTAGACTTCATCAGAGAAACCATTTAGAGTGCACCCCACAGGAGTGATGAAATAACATTGCCCTCTGACCTCTGTGACTCGCGATCGTCACGGGGCATGTAGTTGGCCAGGCAGTCGAGGATGAAGATCTGGCCCCACTCGGTGCATTCATTAAGGGCTGTCAGGAGCTTATTAATTGTCTGAGGGTTCAGGTCCAGAAGGTTGCTGTTAGGATGAGACTCTGCTATCTCGGACAGAGCCGCTACTGCATTTGCTACCACCTAATGGAGGGGGAAAAAAAGAGGCGTTAAACTCAATACAGTGGTATTGTGTGTGAATGGTCTCGAGTTTCGCACAACAATAGCATGTAATTACACACCATGGAGACTAAGAGAGAGCTAAATGGCACTAGCAAGCCCACGGATGCCCTTAAAACAAATATAAGTGCATGTGCAAGTGAATTAGTGTGAGAACAAAATGCACTCAGGGATATTTATCTAAGTTCAGAGATTATTCTTTAGAATATTGCCAGCATCTAACCAGGACTTAGATTTTATATTCCTTTCACATGTTTTATCTTATTTGGCTAGTTGGGTTATGATGCCCTACCATGGGGTTGGAGTCGGAGATCAGGTCTTTCAGGGTGTCCAGGAAGCCCTGGTCTTCCACCAGCTGGGCGTTAATGTCATGCAGCTTGGCGACACAAACTGCAGCAGTCTTCCTTACGTAAGGGTCTTCGTCTTTCAGACACTTCCTTAGAGGTTCACACAGGTACTCCGTGATCTTGTCCACTCGGATGCAGCCCATGGTGCGCACAGCAAGGGCACGGATCAGAGGGTTTGGGTCCTCACAGTCCTGCAGGAAAGAACATATCACCAACACACATTAGCCCTAAAATACAGACATTTTCAAAAGTTTGGGGTCAGTAAGATTTTTTAAAATGTTTTAGAAAGAAAAATGTCCTATTATTAATGTTGAAGACTTGTATCTGGGTACCATTTAATATTTTTGTGAAAATACATTCACATATACACATTCACATATAAATATATTTACTGCAGGATTGTGTGATGGTTCCAAACAGCATTTTTTTTTTAAATAGAAAGATTTTGTGTAACATTATAAATGTTTTTACTGCCACTTTTGATCAATTTAATGCATCTTTTGATCGATTTATTTATTAGCTTATTTATATGTGTGCGTTCAAGTTTGTTGAATGTACATAAACATATGTCAAGCTATCAACTACTTTACAGAAAAACTAGCTAAGCTAAGTTGCAAAAATGCTACAAGCTACTACATATTTTCATAAATCAGGTTTTAGTTACACTGTGCAAAAACATGTTAAATAATGTCTGTGAAAATATCATTTGCACAGAAAAAGAACAATGAAAGTCAATGGAAAGTCTCCACCATGAAAAAAATGCTACTCCATTACTTGAAAGAAATTTTCTACTGAAAAATTGCATATTTTAAAAACTAGCAATGAAAAAAGTCAACTGAGAAAACTAACAGCTTTGCTGTTTGCAGCACCACTAAAGTCCAACACTGAAAGACCGAAAAAAAAATTTATAATACATGACAAAGATCCTAAGGGACTTGAAAACTTTTTGCTGTGTTTTCTAATTTGCTGCGATTGGCCTTATGGCCTAGTTGCCCTTCTTGCTTTAGTTTAGTTTAATGTAGTTTATTTTTTATTGAGCACATTTCTACTGCCACAAGAACAGCCGAAAGTGCTATACAGCACAATCAAGAAAACCAAACAAAAGTCAGTAACAAAACACAGCATCATAAAAAACACTGATATTTAGGTCTCTCTTAAATCAGACTCAAAAGCCAAGATATAAAAGTGCTTCCTCAAAGCCATTTTACAAGCGATCAGAGAGGGGGCAGAGCGGATGGCTAGCGGTTATTCCATAACCGAGATCCGGTTATTGAAAAAGCCCTATCACTTTAGTCTTCATCTTTAGGCATTCATAATGTGTCTCTCGTTCCATTCTCAGGTGTGTGGGAAGCCAGCAAAAACTCAATAGTGCTGATGGAGCAACTGCCATGCAGACTGTACCATCCTATAAAGACTTCCTTTTCTAGTACTCAGAGTACTTCACAGTCCGGAGCGCGGGTTTCATCTGTCTGAACGTCGGGGCTTGTTTTATAATCCATATACATTACAGTTTTTTGCATTGGAAAGTAAATGAATATCCAATAATCTATATCTATTGCCTGTGCAAACTGTAGGATAAAATATTTAAAATATGTCTTGCAATAAAGCTATTTGTCGTTTCACTGATGTCTGAACTCTACCTTCACAAAGGTGTTGACTGCCATAATGGCCATGTCTGGCTGGCTCTTGGCATAATTCATCAAGTACAGATAGACCAGCTTCTTCAGCTCCAGATTATCCGTCTGCATGCAGTTCACAACATCAGGAAACAGTGCACTGGGAACAAAAATATTAATATCAGAAATATAATACCATAAACTCATACTGTCCCAATGGAAATATACAGAGTAGCATATGAAAGAGTGAGCCATTCACACAAATGCTGCATATTTAACTGTAGAAAAACCATCAAGGTAAAAAATGGCTCATCTTACCTGACATCTTTTCCCACTGTCATAGACGCAATGACCTTCTTCACTGCCTCCTTCTTCTTCTCTTTCTTATCACTGTTGAGCTCTGCCTTCAGCTCAAAGATCTCCCCTGAAGGGTCCCACACACAACAATTTATAACTTTTAGATCACAAAACTAGAGCATGAAAATAATGTGCTTCCAGAAAAACAGTGCAAGTCTAGACAGCCAGTATTAGAGGAGTTGTTTGCCTTATGTATTAAAAGAGAAAACAACAATTCAATCATAATTCTGTGTAAAGTGTTCTTCATGGCTTTGACCAAGTAACGTGTGCAGCTCTATTTGCAGGTAAAATACTCTGTTCTGGCACAATCATGTGTCTGCAAGTGACTGTAGACTGCAGCTAAATAAGACTAAACAATATTAGACTCCATTAGTGTACTGTGGTCTGCAGAAACAGAGCAGGAATATGTAGCAAAGGGCTAAATGCTGATCGATTTAACAGTATTTAAATGTGTAATGGTGCGGTGCAATTGATGATCTGCATTGGCCAGAACAGACACAGTAAATGTTTAAATCTCTTTTACATAAAGAGATACACTAATCCCAAAACAGCTGCATCTTAAAAAAAAATAAACATCAGAAAACATCAGACCTTTCTTGGTAGTGGTGAAATACTTGGAGTCTGTCATCTTGGATCCCAAGCCTCGGTTCTCCTGTAGAAGAAAAATAAGGTTTCTAAGCCCATAAGAAAAGTGTGGAAGAGAATAAAGGGAGGTAGAATACTGAAAATGTGCAAGCACAGGGGAATAAGAGGAAGTCGAGTCCCTGTCCTGCTGATATCTTCCCTGATGTTTCTTACAGATTGTGGAGTGGGGAAAACGTTGCACAAAAACACATTGTTAAAGCTTCATGTTCTCTTTCTGTCAGCAAATTAGATTGTCTATGTGCAGTGATTGTCCTCTCATCCTATCTAAATCTTCTGTGAAGAGTTTCCCATTTCCTGTTATTGAACATTAGACTCTCGCCATCACATGAAAGGTCTTTTAAGAGGAAGAGAAATATTAGGATACAACAGTATTTCACTTGATTCAGCCTATCAAGAATCCATTTATTAGGTCAACAAACAGTAAAACCGTAATATTGTGAAATATTATGACAATTTAAAAAACTGTTTTCTATTCTGAATATATTGTAATAAAATTGTATGTAATTTATTTCTGTGATGCAAAGCTGAACTTTCAGCAGCCATTACTCAAGTCTTCAGTGTCACATGATCCTTTAGAAATGCTTAAATATTTTTTATTATTATCAATGTTGAAAAAACTTGTGCTGCTTAATATTTCTGTTGAAATGCATAATACATTTTTTCAGGATTTTTGATTAATAGGAAGTTCCAAAGAACAGTATTTATTTGAAAAAAAAATTTGTAACATTGTGTAAGTCTCTACTGTTACTTTTGATCAATCCTTGCTGAATAAAAGTGTTTATTTCTTTCAAAAAAAAAAAACACTATTACTGACCACAAAACTTTTAAAAACGTATGTATGTATATGTGTGTGTGTTCTTCTTCTCTTTCTTATCACTGTTGAGCTCTGCCTTCAGCTCAAAGATCTCCCCTGAAGGGTCCCACACACAACAATTTATAACTTTTAGATCACAAAACTAGAGCATGAAAATAATGTGCTTCCAGAAAAACAGTGCAAGTCTAGACAGCCAGTATTAGAGGAGTTGTTTGCCTTATGTATTAAAAGAGAAAACAACAATTCAATCATAATTCTGTGTAAAGTGTTCTTCATGGCTTTGACCAAGTAACGTGTGCAGCTCTATTTGCAGGTAAAATACTCTGTTCTGGCACAATCATGTGTCTGCAAGTGACTGTAGACTGCAGCTAAATAAGACTAAACAATATTAGACTCCATTAGTGTACTGTGGTCTGCAGAAACAGAGCAGGAATATGTAGCAAAGGGCTAAATGCTGATCGATTTAACAGTATTTAAATGTGTAATGGTGCGGTGCAATTGATGATCTGCATTGGCCAGAACAGACACAGTAAATGTTTAAATCTCTTTTACATAAAGAGATACACTAATCCCAAAACAGCTGCATCTTAAAAAAAAATAAACATCAGAAAACATCAGACCTTTCTTGGTAGTGGTGAAATACTTGGAGTCTGTCATCTTGGATCCCAAGCCTCGGTTCTCCTGTAGAAGAAAAATAAGGTTTCTAAGCCCATAAGAAAAGTGTGGAAGAGAATAAAGGGAGGTAGAATACTGAAAATGTGCAAGCACAGGGGAATAAGAGGAAGTCGAGTCCCTGTCCTGCTGATATCTTCCCTGATGTTTCTTACAGATTGTGGAGTGGGGAAAACGTTGCACAAAAACACATTGTTAAAGCTTCATGTTCTCTTTCTGTCAGCAAATTAGATTGTCTATGTGCAGTGATTGTCCTCTCATCCTATCTAAATCTTCTGTGAAGAGTTTCCCATTTCCTGTTATTGAACATTAGACTCTCGCCATCACATGAAAGGTCTTTTAAGAGGAAGAGAAATATTAGGATACAACAGTATTTCCCTTGATTCAGCCTATCAAGAATCCATTTATTAGGTCAACAAACAGTAAAACCGTAATATTGTGAAATATTATGACAATTTAAAAAACTGTTTTCTATTCTGAATATATTGTAATAAAATTGTATGTAATTTATTTCTGTGATGCAAAGCTGAACTTTCAGCAGCCATTACTCAAGTCTTCAGTGTCACATGATCCTTTAGAAATGCTTAAATATTTTTTATTATTATCAATGTTGAAAAAACTTGTGCTGCTTAATATTTCTGTTGAAATGCATAATACATTTTTTCAGGATTTTTGATTAATAGGAAGTTCCAAAGAACAGTATTTATTTGAAAAAAAAATTTGTAACATTGTGTAAGTCTCTACTGTTACTTTTGATCAATCCTTGCTGAATAAAAGTGTTTATTTCTTTCAAAAAAAAAAAACACTATTACTGACCACAAAACTTTTAAAAACGTATGTATGTATATGTGTGTGTGTATATATGTGTGTGTGTGTATGTGTATATATATATATATATATATATACACACATACATATTTATTTTAAATAGTACTTGTGGAAAAAAAAGAGCTTATTTTATATTGAATGGGTCAATTCACAGGGCTAACATGTTAAGATCATAAGATCATGACCAGTTGAATACTACTGACTTTATCTTGTTAACTCTGCATTATTGGACACTTTTGCTTACGCAATAAATTAAACTTGGCTAACTGCAAGCAGTGTATTTCTACAGTGACATGGGTAACTGAAAATGGTTCCACATTCACCCACTATTTGTCTAAGTCCAAGACGAATGCCATATTGGCAAAAAAGAAAAAGTGTGACAGTGCTACGTTACCTCATTTCACACTTCAATTAAACTCAACTTCAAAAATGATATAGTTTGAAATTAAGATTAAGGGGACAAAAACAGCCATGTGCTATTTCTTCTTCTCCTTTCTTCTTCCCTTATTATGTAACAACACGAGGCATTTTCAATAAAGAAGCTGCAGAATTATGATCTGTGTGCATGAATGAATTGTGTATCCCTGTTGAGCATTTCCATACAAACTATATTATGATCATCCATGAAACAGCACTTGTCAGTTAATGTTCACACCCGTCTAAATGGCCTCGAAGAATGACTAACAATACTTACACAGACAGTAATTTAGTAAGGCAACATTACCAGTCCACTATCTCTCCACATGCATAAATAATTGATCAAGGTCTGCTTGTGGTATTTCATTACCGAACATACCAAAATCACTACAATATCATTACACCCCTTCGGAAAAAAATGCACCATGTTAACTACATGTTAACTACAATTGCAATAATAATTAGCAAAAATACTGTTCTTTTGAACGTTCTATTCACCAAAGAATTCTGAAAAAATGCATCATGGTTTCCACCGTATTATTAAGCAAACATTTTTTAACATTTAATAATAATAATAATAATAATAATAATAATAATAAGTAAGGATATGACACTGAAGCCTGGAGTATATGTGTGTGTGTGTGTATGTCAAGTCAAGTCAAGTCACCTTTATTTATATAGCGCAAATTATTTTTTCATTTCTTTTATGTAAAGCACTTTGAATTACCATTGTGTATGAAAAGTGCTATATAAATAAACTTGCCTTGCCTTGCCTAATCACGCGGGTCAAAAGTAAGGAGAGATAACTGACAAAGATTTTGGAGTATTTGCTCCTCAACAGATCCCGAGCTCACTGACAAATATCTTTTATCGTAATATGTGCTCGCTTTACACAGTGTGCGTGCGATCGCGAAATTGAAAGTGAAAGTGAACTGCGAGCGCTCATTCACATATTGATAGCGGTGCCCTGATGTGCGAAAATAATATACAATATTAGAATGTTTGCGGGAGCGGACACAAAAATCGCGTGAGTGGATGGGAGCATGCGGTAATGGTAATAAGTTCAGCGAGAGCGGTATCAACAAGCCCCATGCTATCACGCAGCGGCGCAGTCAGTCAGTGAGCGCTGTAACAGTCACATCTGGCAGGATTTCATAAATAAACTACAAAGAACCCCACTATTCGGACAAATATACATAATGAAAAGAAGATACAAAATGTAATACCTTGGAAAATGGCATTTAAGACTTTTTAATACTTAAGGGCCTTAATTTTATCTAAATCAACTTTTAATACTTTTTAAGACCCCGCGGACACCCTGCTCCATTACATATCTTTGTCACGCATTTCTTTTATGTAAAGCACTTTGAATTACCATTGTGTATGAAAAGTGCTATATAAATAAACTTGCCTTGCCTTGCCTAATCACGCGGGTCAAAAGTAAGGAGAGATAACTGACAAAGATTTTGGAGTATTTGCTCCTCAACAGATCCCGAGCTCACTGACAAATATCTTTTATCGTAATATGTGCTCGCTTTACACAGTGTGCGTGCGATCGCGAAATTGAAAGTGAAAGTGAACTGCGAGCGCTCATTCACATATTGATAGCGGTGCCCTGATGTGCGAAAATAATATACAATATTAGAATGTTTGCGGGAGCGGACACAAAAATCGCGTGAGTGGATGGGAGCATGCGGTAATGGTAATAAGTTCAGCGAGAGCGGTATCAACAAGCCCCATGCTATCACGCAGCGGCGCAGTCAGTCAGTGAGCGCTGTAACAGTCACATCTGGCAGGATTTCATAAATAAACTACAAAGAACCCCACTATTCGGACAAATATACATAATGAAAAGAAGATACAAAATGTAATACCTTGGAAAATGGCATTTAAGACTTTTTAATACTTATTAAGGGCCTTAATTTTATCTAAATTGATTTATCAACTTTTAATACTTTTTAAG